AATCGCGCCGAAATATTGATTTTCAACACTGCCGACACGGCGTGGTGATAGAGAAAATGGATGCGGAATTCAATATCCTTATTTATCCTTCCCTAACAACACGGGATCTTGCTGGTACGTCCCGCTAAGGTCCTACAAATGTCCCAATGTTTCGGACTTAGGTACGATATCCCAGAGATGTTTCTCTTGGGACATCCATCAGATGTTTTCATTGAATGTTCTAGAAACATCCCATTCGATCTTTTTTTATGAACAATACCATGGTTCCATATTTGCTAATGATGACTGACATGATTGAACAGTTCAAGCAATTGTGACATTTGAAACATTGAAAAGTTGGTAAAAAATGGAAATCAAAACTGTATTCGTACTCATATACTTATACCTATACCGACGCCGGCTAATCTCATCGATAACAAATTGCAATAATTATACTGAATATGCCTCCATAAGATTACGAAAGTACCTGCTTAACTTCATGAACCATGTAATAAACGACAAACTTGAAATATATCTCTTCAGCATATTTATTGCTGAATTTATTTGTAATACCAGCCGATAGATGGCGGTACAACTACGTTGCTAAGAGTTTACTAACAGCCGTAGGCCCAGCGTCAACAAATATGAGCCTCAAACAACTGTTATCATCTTCCATTAGTTATTGGACCGCACCGACCTTATAGGTATATTCGGACTCGGATTGTTACTTTATATCTGGAAATAGGTCGGTCATTTTCAGGATATCAGATTGAAAATAATGCATACCGTGTCATCCATCACTGTTATCAAACAAAAAACATCCTATAAAAGTATCTTCAAGATGTTCCATATCAAGTACCCTGAATGTCTCTGGTACATCCCGTATCATCCCACAAACATTCTGATGGGATGTTTATAAGACATCGCAAATGCTGACACGGGTGTTGCCAGCAACATCCCAAGAATGTCCCAAGGAAAATAGGGATTTTCCAGAGATGTTTCTATCATCCCATATGGATGTTTCTACGATGTCTTACAGATGTAATTGTGTTATTAGGGTTAATCCCTTTGTGATTGAGTGTCAGAGTAGCGCAATGGAATATATGTGTAGATCAGGCAGATGTTGTGATTGTGAAGCTGCGCATTATACCCAGACAGCGCACAGAAATATTCTATGAATGTTCTCACAACGTTCATAACCATTCACAACATACCTCGCTACTTCACAATATTCCAATGAATATCCATAGAATATAATGAGGATGTTCCGAAGGTTCATAGAATGTTTCACGAGAATATTCATAGAACATTTCATCTCAATATCATAGGAACGTTCAAGGAATATTCCATTATATTATATCAATATTTATTCCGGAATGATCATAGAATGTATATTGTTTGAATATTCTAGGTATATGTTCTCCCATGTATGTTCATAGAATATATATTATTCAGATACTTTCGTTTTTGACCTTCAAGAAGTCATATATATATATTATTTAGAAAAAATATATTTTTCATTGATTATTCAAAATCTTTTTCGCTGACTTCGATGAAACTTGTCATTTTCCAATTACTTTCTTCCTACCCTAACAAAACAGGGATGTCCTAGGTACGTCCCTTTTTTGTCCCGCGGTACAAGGACATGATTGGGGCATCCAGGGGATGTCGCGCAGTGGTTGTCCAGTGGACATCCCGCCCGGTACATCCCTAGGTTATCCTATTCGTGTCCCTGGAATATCTGATATCCATTCACATCAGAGTCATTGAATTTCATCGAAGTATTAAGTTGCATTTTTTTTGAAAATGTTTGTTTTTCTTCCGGAAAATAATCGTAATGAAAATAAAGAATAAAGTTTCAGAACTTCTTAAGAAATTACCATTTTTCGCAAACAGAAATCGTACATGCATAATGCCCCTCATTTTTAAACACCCAAGAATGATATAATAATTATACTCAAATCCTAACAAAGTTGTATTTATTCAGGTTTCTGTAGTTAAGTCCTGTTTATAAATCTGTTTAGTACATAAATCTTCAGGAGACTCAATAGCCAATGGAGTAAGATGCGTGCCTGATAAGCCAAAGGTCCCTGGTTCAATCCGTACTCGACCTCCTTTTTTTTTTTTTTTTTTTTTTTCTTTTTTTTCTTTTGTCGAAGGGATGTCCCTGGGATATCCTTGGGACGTCCTAGGGATATCCTACGTACCAGAAGGACGTCCCTAGGATGCCTCTTTTTGTGGAAAGCGGATGTCCCTGGGACGTCCCTAGTATGTACCATGTCCCGACACAGGATATCCCAGAGACGTCCTAGAAGAAAATGAAGGACGTCCCTGGGACGTACTCGTGTTGTTAGGGTATATCCGTTAGGGGCGCTGAAACTCATATATATATGCTTTCACACTAATTCCAACATTATTGTGATATTCGTGAAGCATCCGTGATCAGTATGGTATCTGTATAATTGTACGTATGTTTGAATAAGGACGTTCTCAGAATATTCTCTGATGGTACTGAGCATTTTCTGATGATATTCTGATAGAAATGACGTCATAATGACATCTTTTTCAAGTCAATATTGATCCATGACGTCCTCAACTGCAGAGAAACCTAAAAATGACGTTATGTTTCAGTTTCCGTCCAACCGAAAGAAAGAATTAGTGGTTTCCCTACCTTTTCATCGTCTATTCTACGAAATTATATATAGAGTTTGTATACGTTTCTCTACAAAGTGGAACTTTATTTGCCAACATTCGGCACGTAGCAATCAAACTACTTTTATTCCGCTCACTGATGTAAGCTCAGTAGATTTTTTTCTCCATATTTAGACAATGGTCGCAGGGAAAGTGACGATGCCGGGGTATTGGTAATGATGGGCCGATGATTTCCGTATGCTAAGTAACCATCAGTTAAATATACGATGATGGCCTTATTGTGATGAAGATGTCTGGAACCCGTTGAACACTATAACGAGTTGTGGCCCTTTGAAAATAAGAAGAATGTTATCCATGGATCACGTTTCTTCTTGAAAACTTTTTAGTGATGAGGGGGGCATAAAGATCCAGTAGAGAATTCATATTTTCAGTAAAGGAGTCAACTTTATTATCGATGGTATCTATAGGTGGAAGATATTCCTCCAGGGAATAGAGCGTAGATCATCATTTAGTTGGTTGAAGTCTATATATTTTTAGGATCTGTAGGTTGTAGGTGTTGGCTTAATATCATCTTCCGCTAATTCCAGAGTGATGTGGATTATTAGAGTTCATGATCGGACACTTGAGGAACATATGTAGCGATGCGCAGTTATAATGACGTGTATCTCTTCCGATGCAAGGATGAGGTCAATCAGCGTGGAACTATTACTAGTGCAGATTCTTGTAGGAAAATCAACCAACTGCTGCAACCCCGTACTCGACAATAGCTCACTGAAACTTTGAGTGTGTGAGTTATTGATATCAAAAAGGTCAATTTTGAAATCGCCCAAGCATATCACATCATCATATTCAGGAAAAGTTGGAAATATTGATTCCTATCCGTACGTCCCTGGGACAGCCTATGGACATCCAATTGATATCCCTATTAATGAACAAAAAACTCCTTTGGCACATTTTAAGTAGGTACTTTGAAATAAAATATTGCTTTTCGAGAAACATAATATACCATTTACTTTATTCTGCCTGAGAGTTTCACGTAGAAACTGAAAAAAAAAAGAAATAAAATATCACAATAAATTTTCAAGATGCATTCCACCGGCCTTCCTGCATTTTTATGCCCACTTGAATGAATTATTTCCAATCGAAATTAGAATCATATTTGAGGATTTTGGCTAATTTTCAATACGGTTCAACAACTCTCCTCTGTTTCCAATGGGATCATTGTAGACCCTTTTTTTTTCAAATGTTTCCACAAAAATTATCGAGATGGTTGAAATCAGGGGACCTAGCTGGCCAAAGATTTGGAAATTGATTATCTTGGCGTTGTCTAGGTCAACACCAGAATGAAGCGGAGCACTCTGAATGTTGGAAATGTGGAAGGAAATGAGAAAATTAAGATGAACAACGCTCATAATTCTTTGAGGAAATGCATAAGGTCCAATTAATGAACTGTGTATCAAACCACACCAAACATTAATTGAAAATTTATGTTGGGAATAGGATCGTTTTACTGTGTGCGAATTTTCATTTTTCCACATACATGAGAATTTCTTGAAAAAGATACGGACTTGTGTAAACTGGGCTTCATCTGTGGATTATGTCCTAAAAACCGGCTCATGGCTTGTAATCCATTGGGAGAATAATGCACCTTCCAACCGTTGTACCTGTTAGAAAAGGTGCTAAGCCTGGTGATAGAAAAATGAATGTTATGTAATTCAGTTCAGAAATGGTTTAACATTCAATTCAGGATTCATGAAAGTGAATAGGAAGAAATGAATTTTGAAAAATTTATGTAAATTTTTTTTCTGAATATTTAGAGAATTAAATATATATATGCTGTGTTTCTTGGAAAGCAATATTTTATTTTGAAGTAAATTTAGATGTGCCAAATGAACTATTCACATTTTTTTTTCATTAGTCCATGTAGTTTTGAAATAATAAGCAGAGATCGAAGATTCCAATGTAAAGGGTGTCCTTATTCTAAGAGACCTTAGATTGGAATTCTCCAAGTTCGGACCTGGAATTTGGATACATTTGGTATTTCAGAAAGTCAACTTCGATTAGTAGACCAAAAGTGTATAAATTTCAGAAAAATTGATCAAACGATTGAAAGGATACAAGGTCAATCAATCATGGCTAAAAAAGTAAGAAGACCCTGTATCAATTTAAATATTCTTCTCTTCATGGCAGAGGTATGTCCTATTTACAACATATATAGGTATGTACGACGGCTTAATCACCCTGTATAAATAATATAACGAAATAAAATTGCGAGCTTCAGCTGTTTATTGTTTAGAATCCACAGACATTCTAGATAAAACATTTCCAGTGTTCGAAATGAAGGAAAAATCGTCAACAGAGTATAACTTTTAATACATGATAATTATTGATCAACAGTTTAAATAATAATATATAACAATCATTATCATTTTCTATTAACTTGGAGTTTGGGAGCTGAAAGTTTCACTTTTCCAGGAATATTCCTGGCAAGTTGTTCATCTTTCACAGCTTTCAATAAATCCTTTTCTCTTGGAGTAATAGACCGATCCTTCAGAAAAATGGCAACTACCGTTTTTGCAGCTTTCCCTCTTCTTGCTGTTCCTGGAGTTAGTTTCACTTTGAATCTGCAAATAAAACAATCAAATCTTAAAATCTACTCAGATCTTTCAAGTTTTACTTATATTAAAGTACCTATACCTAATTGGGTAAACGACTCAGAGTGGTTGATTGGGAAGATAAAAAAATTGATTAATCCTCAGTTCAAAATTCTCCTGAATTCATCTAATGGATCGAATAAAGGTCAATATGAAGATGAATATATGGTGTGTGAGTTATAGTACAAAAAATGCATTATTTGACGTATTCAATTATTCACCATCACCCCTGATTCATAGCTACTCTATCTACAGCTATCTCTCAACGTTCCGCAATAAGTACAGTAAGACGATGAAATAAAGTTGACATTTATATAGAGTTTCCTGAATCTGACACTCGCCAATCTTGTCATATTAACTTTTATAATTTTTTTTCGGACTATCAAGTATTATTTTTGGAAGTAGCATTATTTCAAAGCTCGAGGATCAATCTATTCAAGGTTTTTCAATTCTTCCAATAGGTGAATATTTGATACTGCCAGGAGTTCTGTTATTATGTGCGCCAGTAATAGGTGAATTTCCATGAAATAAGTTTGGAACTCTCCAGTTTTATGTCCACGTTGTACAGAATGGCGACCGATAAAGTCGTTTTTATTTTCAAATTGAAGCAATTTCTAATTTTCGGGGCGGCAAACTGTGACGTACATTCTTAATCTAGTCTGAAAATAGCTGATGGTGAAGAATATAGCTAGCGGATAACTAACGAATGCAAAGAATAGAAGAAGTAAAACTGGTAAACAGAAACATAACCAAAAATGCACTCGGAGCAGGAATGCAGAAGGTAGTTGGCTTCATACTGACAGTTTATGGTTTTGTCATTTATGCATTGAAATATCTCGTTCCTTAACGAAAATATCATTGAATCAATGAATCACTATCAGCTACATTCAATGATACTATCCTTCCTAATTTACTGCCATCGGTCAGAATGGAATCAAGCCTGTCAGTATTTTGAGTTGTGTGGACAGACTCAAAGTATTAGGCGCTGTTGCAAGATATTATATGCAACTTTCTTAGAAAATAGATCCGTTTTATTAATTAACGAATTCATTAGCAAAAAAATGACTGACAGGTTATGAATAACATATTGTAATATTACGAAAAATCATAGATACTATCTCAAAATATCATAATTTATCTTCATTAGTAATCAACTTCATATTCAGCCAATGAGAGATTTATGGGAATTTCCATAATAGTTAAAAAGTAGGATTGGAGAACTATCCCAGCAAACATTGAACTAGCGGGAGAAGTCCGGCCTAGTGCAGGCTAGTCTGGGAAAGTGACGATGCCGGGGTATTGGTAATGGGCCGATGATTTTCCTATGTCAAGTAACCATCAGTTGAAAATACGATGATGGCCTTGTGATGGTAAGATGTCTGGAACTAATTGAATAATTACGAGATTTGGCCCTTTGCTGGCCAATTTCATGTTTGCTACTCGTCCCCCTGGTGGTAGTTCTGGGAACGTCTACATCAACAATCAGCTGATCAATATTAAATGTGACTAAGATGGCTGACTCTCGTGAGTGGTGATCGCGTACTAGTTTGTTTATGTCGAATTAATGTGGTCCTCTCTTTCCCTGGTGGTTATTTATGATGGCAGTAGTATTCTCAATTGATAATGATAAAAGACAGATTCTTCAAATATAATAATATTGTGTAAGTATCAATCTACCTACATAGTGTTTAGAATTTCATCATTGAATGCATGTGTTTGGTATCTCGTAACTTCATACACCTAATGATCATATAATAATTGGAGTGGGCTATACTTCTCCAAAAGCAACTATCATTTTTAACTCGTTTGTTGATAGGCCACTAAATAAACAAATGATGCATTTTATATTTCAGAAGTACCTCATAACGAAGAATCGACTTTGAAGGAATGCTACCCAATAAGATATAGATACCACATACCAACCACTAAGCAGTCACATCGTTGAAGAACAGAGAGGTTAGGAAGATATCATTGTGTCATTCATAAAATTGTTTTCTTGTAATCTGGTATGATCAGAGGGTTATATTGTGAAATAAAAAAGTACTAGAACTTTCAGATCCAATGGACCCCTAAAACCCCTACCCCTCCCCTACCTCGATAGTATGTAACCAATGTCGTTAATTGGCCATTACAGTCCCATCATTTATGTATATGCTGGGCTTGCTATGGGAAATTCAATGTGTCGATTATGTTGTACTGGCCTTTTGCCGGGGAACTGAATATGTTTGCTGGGAACCCAGCACTGGGACCAGCTGTCGGCCGCAGTGTACTGATATATAGAGTCCCGCATATGGGACCATTTACTGGGCCGCTGATGTCAGGTATGGGAAAAATATATTAGGCCATTGATGCCCCATATCAAAATGTTTGCTGGGATGAATTTCCTTTTTTTTTCACTGTTTCTTTTTTCCCCTTCTTGTTCACTATAATATGAGTACTGTTATTTTGAGATATCTTAATGATATGAAAGTTTTGTTCACTATTTGTAATTTCAATTATACAACAGTCGAAAAACTTCATGAATGATCTTGTACCAGGAATTACTGTCTGATCATTCATGGCATTCCTACTAGAAAATTAATTATACTTTATATATTATTTGTATAAAATGTATCAATGAAGAAAATAATGTAACTGAACTAAAATAAATAAATAAATAAAAAAAAGAACCTATTATATCCCATTGCTGTTATGATATAGTTATCATGCATTCAAAGAATAATTTCCGGAAATCTAGACATATTGATGATGTCAGCAACGTCGTACTGGCACTAGGGAATCGTATTTTAACTCTGTGTAAATGTGCATTTTCATAAAGTCAGTCTTAGGAATGGTGGAGGAGCCAAGTTCCTCTTTTATTTATTTTTTTCTGAAGTGAAATTGGATCTTACGAAAAAAAAAATATTTTTTCACAAACTTCACAATGAGATAAAAACCTCAATAAAGGAAACTACCCCATTTTTATTTTTGTATTGCCTGTTTGACTTATATAAAATGGAATAATATTCTCGAAGAGTCTTCTCGGAAATCCGTAATCAATATTGTATATACTCAATTATATAATATCATTAATCAATTTCTAATGTAAATCAAACCATAAACCCAACCTCCCTTCTGCATGACTTTCTGTCACCCTTCCACAACGCGAACATAGAAAGATGGAAATGGGCATCTCTGGCAGCAACGATCAGTGTTTGGCGGAACGACATTCTATAAACATTACTGGAAAAATCCTATATGTTATTGTCACGATCCTTGGCTTCCTGATGGGATAAGACCACTGGATCATCTTTGAGGGTAGCTCAGATAGGGTAGATTATATTAACTCAACACACTAGTTGAGGGGTATGAGAAATAGTAAAAACCATATTCAAAACATAGATACATTTATTAGATTATCATCGTATAGTAGAGGAATCATTATAGATACGACATACAATATATAAAATGATTGAATAGTACTTACAATATAGATAGAGCCATTTTCGGAGAGGGTTGTCGCGTAGAACGCACAAAGACCTAACTAAACTGATTAACGTGATAACCGCCTGTACAAATCGACAGTTTACACCACCGACAGCAACTATTCGAATACCGATCATCAACTGCCTACTGGAATATCCACAAATTTATATTTTTCTGAAACCTCAATAGTTATTTATTATACAAGGGAAAGTAGTAGATTTTAGCTCCAAGTTGTGTTGTCTCCGCTACGCGTCGGGAGACAAAAAACCGTGAGCTAAAATCTAATATTTTTCCCGTGTATAATACACAATTATTTTCTGTGACAGAAGGAAGGACGAATCAATATTGAGAAGATATTAAATTATTTCGAAATCTGAAAATTATGGACGTGAAATTTTAAGATTTTAACAGTATAGGGACACCTGCGCTGCAGGCATCTTTTGAAGTAATCAAATATCTGATGTCACTTCTGTCAGTCTAATTCTGTGATTTGATTTCAAAAAATTAAGAATGTAGTGGTTGTGTAGTAATATACATAACCGCAAAGTCGAATGGAAGATAAAAGGACTTGCAGTTCTTTCTCGGAGACGGTATTATTGACCCATTTTTCGGAACTATAGCACAACAAAAGCCATCAACAGTGTATACAGGGTGATTCATTGGGAAATGCGCATAGAGTAAGAGTGGACGGAGGACACCGAGGTGCTTCTGAATAATATATATTTCATGGGTCTATCATTCTTCGTACCTGAGATACAGGGTGATTTATCAATTTTCTAATTGTTTTCAATTAATCGTAACTTATGAACCACCCTATACATTTTTGTGATATTTGGTGAACATGTTCTTTGTCCACAGATGTGACGATTGACATAATAAGATGAAGTGTCATTCCAGGTCCGGCCTTAAAAAAATTAATAAGTAGGTTTCGAGTCGAAACAACATCCTGTATATCAATATTTTGGACTTTCATTCACAAATTTGAAGAGAGCAGGAAAAATTATGTCAGGCTGAATGTATTTTGTGTTTCCGCATACAACTTTTATACCTATTAACTTGAGTCGAATCCAGATGTTTCGATAAGGAGGTGGCACAAAATTGAAAAAAAAAAAAATTGTCGTCCCCAAATGGTACTTTCTCATTTTGAAACCATGAAATCATCAACTATTTCTTACTCTCCTAATTTCTGGATCCCAACCTAATTGGAAAACGAGAGGACAGGTCCGTATTTGGGACAAATTATTATTATCAATGACTATGTATAAACACCTTGTATATGTGCAAGAAAATTGTCATAACATTCATTTATTGAATTTGAAACAACAATTATTATGAAAATAAGGAACAATGCCCATTCCGAAAAGAGTCATAACTTTGTTTTCAACAGAAATAACGTTGAACATAACAGAAAATCAAAAAACTAGGATTGTTGTAATTTTCAAGTTGGCTGATGTCAGAGTACAATTTTGACGTTAGTTGATGACTCAAGAGTTTGTACCTGTGTATTTTGTTGTCACGTTATTCGTTAACAAATAGTTATCATTTACTAAAAATGCCGCATAAATTTAATAATAATGAATATGCAGACATGTTGTATGTCTATGGATACAGTGATGGTGACGGAAAAGCTGCCCAAAGAGAATATGCACGGCGATATCCTGGCTGGCGGTTACCTGATGACAGATTTTTCTCTAATGTATTCAGTTACCTGGAGAAACACGGTAAATTTCCAACTGAAATACGAAAGACGGCATATCGATTTGGAGCAAGATATTCTCAACCTTGTTCAAAATGATCCAAAAATTAGTACAATAAGAATCAGTCATGCCACTGATGTTCATCAGTCTGCTGTTTGGCGAAGATTGAATAAGGATAGTCTGCATCTAGCAAGTTCAGAGGCTACATGCAGGAGATGGAATTGAAAGGTTAGCATTCAGTAGATGGATATTATAAAATGATAGAATAATACACAGGTGTTTATTTAGCGATGAAGCTCAATTCACCAGAGACGGCATCGATAATTCAAGAAATTCCCATGTTTGAGCTGTACAAAATCCGTTCGCTAGTAAACAAACGAATTCCCAAATCATGACAATTTCCCTGCACATACAAGGTGTTTAGACATAGTTAGTCATTGATAATAATAATTTGTCCCAAATACGGAACTGTCCTCTCCTCGTTTTCCAATTAGGTTGGGATCCATAAATCAGGAGAGTAAGAAATAGTTGATGATCTCATGGTTTGAAAATGGAAAAGTACCATTTGGAGACAATTATTTTTTTTTTCAATTTTGTGCCACCTCATTATCGAAACATCTAGATTTGACTCAAGTTAATAGGTATAAAAGTTGTATGCGGAAACACAAAATACTTTGAGCCTGACTTATTTCTTCATGCTCTTTTCAAATTTGTGAATGAAAGAACAAAATATTGATATACTAGGTGTTGTTTCGACTCGAAACCTACTTATTAATTTTTTTAATGCTGGACCTGGAATGAGACTTCATCTTATTATGTCAACCGTCACATCTGTAGACAAAGAACATGTTCACCAAATATCACAAAAATGTAAAGGGTGGTTCATAAGTTATGATTAATTGAAAAAAATCTGAAAATTGATAAATCACCCTGTATCTCAGCTACGAAGAATGATAGACCCATGAAATATATATTATTTAGATGTACCTCGGTGTCCTCCGTCTACCCTTACTTTATGCGCATTTCCCAATGAATCACCCTGTATATATGTGATATATATTCGGGAAAATAGTACTCACTTTTTTCCCATGGGAAAAAAGTAATTTATGAAGAGTGACATTTTATAACCTGCCAACAGAGATGAAATGCCAAACTTTTTTCCCGTCACAGAAAAAATACTGTTATTGTTTAGGTAATTCTCGGTACGTTGCTGTTGGAGGTTACTCAGTCGTACAGGTTGTTGATGAGTCAATGCCAAAACGTGTTCCAAATGTTTATAAACTTTCGGTGCGATGGAAGAAGCACGATTTGGAAATTATGAAAATATTGAATTAATGATTTCGATGATAATTTCGGAATAATTACTTATTTGTGACATTATCTTCTATCGTGTATCGGAAGTACTTGAGTTACGGTACGTTATTGAATCTACAGGGTCTCTATAAATGATCGTAACATCGTAGTGGCTGTTGAAATTTTTTTCCATTTGCCGCTTTCTACTAATGCTGTTAACAACATATAACGACCAAAAAGAAAGGAAGTGATCATATAAAGAATTTTTTTTTATATCGATTTGCATACACTATGGAAATGTATCTCAAATAAAGGAGAGTCCAATATTGGAGTTTGAAAAATAATGGAACAAATCGAAAATATTTATTAAAGAAGTAATAAATAACGGTTCATTTCATTAACCTACATCAAATATTCAAAATGTTCTCCGTTGTTCTCCAAGCATTTCAAAACTCGTCGCCATTTGTTGTCGAAAATGTTCCTCAGCATTTCCAGGCCAATATTTTGGCAGCAATGTGTTATTGAGGCTTGCAGCTCTTCAACGTTATTGTCTCTCTTGAATACTTCGTCTTTTAAATATCCAAAAAGGCAGAAATCCAAAGACGTCAAATCTGGAGAACGTGTTGGAAAAGAAGGGTTAACTCCTCGACTTATTACACGGTTGTCATAAAATTCTTGTGAATATTCCAGATTTGCACGTGTGGTGTGGGCAGTGGCCCCATCTTGCTGAAAATAGCCAACTCAAATTTCTTCATCATCAAGTTGATTGATGAATGGTTCTAACATCACTTGTCTGTACCTTTCACCATTGATAGTGCCATCGAAGAAAATCGGTCCATATATTCGCCTACGAGAAACTGCTAATCACACCCCAATTTTTTGAGAATGTAGTGGAGTCTCAATGAAATTGTGGGGATGCTCAGATCTCCAAAACCTAAAATTTCGTGAGTTCACGTATCCTGACAAATGAAACCAAGCCTCATCGCTGAAAAATGTTAGGTCCAATAGCTGGTCATCGTTGAGATTATTTTGGAACCATTGGCAGTACTCCAGACGACGTGGGATATCTATTGGCAGAAGTTGCTGTAGTACACTGTTCTTGTAAGGGTGCATATGCAATCTTTTCTTGAGCACTTTATGGCATGTACTTAGTGGCACACCAGATTGAAAAGATAATCTCTTCAATGACGTTTGGGGATTTTGCTCAACACGCGCCCATAGATTTTCGACAACTTCTTTCGATATTTGGGGCCTTCCTGCTGATTTCTTTGTATTAACGTTTCCAGTTTGGATGAATCTGTTGATCACTGTTCTGATGTGGGCTTTCAAAGAAGATTCTTGCATCTGTACATCAGAATATTTCGCCAGGTACTCATCCTTGCAGGCTACTACCGAGTAACTCCATCCACCATTGATGAATGTGCCATTTGGACAATAAGACATTACAATAAATGTATTCTGCTCCGAGGAATAAGCCATCCTTCTTTTCAACACGGCAATCACGAAGTAGAAAACAGAATCTTTTGAAAATGTTAACGAAAACCTGACAATTGTGAGTTTATCAGCTATGACAGTATAATGATTGATGTCAGAAATTAAATTCGAATGTGTGAATCTCCATAAATGAAAGGCGGCAAATGGAGAAAATATTTCAACGGCTACTACGATGTTACGATCATTTATAGAAACCCTGTATAAATCAGGGGGTCAGTCCCCAGTGGCCTATGGAAAAAGAAAACTCACTTGTAACTCGACAGGGCGTTGTAGGGCGCCACGACCGGCACGGCGAACAGCAGCTCGTCCTCGGCGGCCGGCACCCCCGTCAGGGCGTCGATGACGTCGACGTCCGCCTGCACCGTCGGCTCGTCGTCGCCGTCCTCGCCCCCCGCACCGGCTTCCCGCGGCGCCGGCGCTCTCGCCGGTCTCGGCGCCGGTTTGCGCTTATCCGCGTCGTCTTTGTGCTTCTTTGATTTCTTCGTGTCCTTGGACGTGCCCGATGACTAACCCGAGCAATAAGTAATGGTAATAATTCATCTACCATGTACAAAGCAATGAACTTTATATGAACACCTGGAAGGGACCCTCTGTGAACGACGAGTGAGGCAACAATATTGTTCAGGCAACCCGCAGTGTTTACGGATACCAATCTCTTTCTATCTTATGTTGGCTAATGGGAAGCGCTCGCATTATTTGAAATATTTTCTCGTTTTTTGATTTAAGCTAGGAGTAAACGTGATTAAATATAAATATTCATTTGGAAAAAAAGAATAATGTTATCAATTATCAGTAAAAAATTATTATTGAATTTTTCATTGACTTAAAATTGAAATTTCATTTTAATTCTTACAGGACTAGGAAGTCGAATGAATACAAAATTGAAATTATATATTTTTATTCAAATGTCACAATATATTGTACAGGGTGAGAGAAGCACAATGTCTCAGCACTATCAGAAGAAAAAGAAAAACGATAGGAAAAATTTGAAGAGGTTCTTGAATGGTGTTGAGTACCAAAGGTTCATTTTGAGCATAATTTCCATAGGTTCCTATTTTTCCATTAGGTCACTGCCTACAAACATTAATTACATAAATTAAAAAAATACAATTGTCAATACAATATCCTTCTCGAATGGAACAGTTTGGGTTTCCTAATTGATGAACTTCGAAACTTGGGAGCTGGAAGTCGTAGGCAAATCAAAGTCCATAACATGATAAACATCTTCCATAGGACCCAAGTTATGAACGTCAACAGATGCATCCAAAAAATGAATTACTAGCTAGTTTTCTTATTTTAAAGAGGTGTGAACATACTTTGTTTTTTTCATTAATAATCAACTAGGTACCTACAAGTTTTCTCATTTTCCTAGTTTTCTTATTTCCTGCGAGGATCAGCATTTTTTGCAAATGCTTAGGAAATGAAAATATACTGGGTACAGCACCTGATTTCAATAAACTAGCAGTACCATGTCTTGAGTAGATGGTTTTAGATGGAGCCATATTCTCTCTACGAACTGCCTTAATCCATAATTCGAGAATGTCTGGTCTTTTGAATGGAAAACTGCAACAAATAATACTACTTAATATGTTTATGGAAAAGTCATGGTAGTATTTAACTTTGACAAATAATATAGGTATAGTTTTCGAACATATTCTGAGACTGGGAACATTTTATACCTAACTGATGATCATTTCAAGAACTAGATTTTCCAAAAATCAGAACAATATTCAACTTACCCATGGAATGACAATTTCCTTTTGTCTTGCTCGTTCTTGCATCCAAAGACGACACAATAAATCACCATTGTTTATCAATATGAAATCACAAACCTTCTCAGCAATCAGTTCACAGTGTTCACACCAACAAATTCAGTCCTTTTGATAAAACAAAACACGCCAAATAAATAGATATTTCACATAACCAGGTTACAGGTTACCGTAAAACATGCTATCTTTGTTGCAGCTGCCCCTGACACACTTTGTGCTATTCGAGAGAACGGCCGTCTCCCTTCCAGGTGTTTATATTGAGTTCATTGGTACAAAGATGATACATACACCAGATAGTCAACACCTGTGTGACGATCGCCAACGCTCCGATGGGATCTAACAGAACGGCGGCTAATCGGCTGTGCTGATTCAATGACCAAATATTAAAATCAATCCGAGTCGGATTATCACTCTGTTCGTTCCCAACTTAGCGTTGCCCATGCCGTATGTGTATGATCTTTGCCATGTAGAATAATTATATCACATCACATTCTCGTGAAACATGCTACATATCAAGGGTGAATAATAGGAGTATTGGGACTAATTCAAGTACCAGTACCAGTACCATCATACCATCAAGTACATTTATAGTTCAATGGTGAGAATGAAGCCTGTTATTGCTCAGTAGCCATTCCTTTATTCAATTTTTGAAAATCTTGATAGAGTTGATTTTTTTATTCAAAGTGAAACCATGTGATCTTAGCATGGAAGAAAGGAAAAATATTATTGGGTGAATGATTTTTTCACTACTGGTATTTGATATGAGTTGTTTTCAGTCATGTAATTTACATGTTTTTTACCTTGTTCTGGAAGAGCATCATAACTGAAAAACTAACCTGCAATATTTCCATTCTCATTTTCCTTTCCTCATCATCTTGATCCTTGTATTTTTCCTTGATCTTCTTCAATTTACTTTTTTGTCCTCGCTTGGATACTTGTTTCGAATTTTCTATAACTCTCTCTGCTGTAAATAATAATCTTCAATGAGTTTGTGTTTTCTGATATTTCATTTTGTTACCTTCAGGAGCATTGATGCGGTTCTTGTTTTTCTGATCGTTTTTATTGTTTGTTTGTTTTTTATTATTTTTTAAGATAACTGGTATGTTATCACCAAGAAAAATCACATTGTCGTCCTGATTTGATTTCTGAATAAGTTGAGTATGTTCTGTCATTAAATTCATCCTATAAGATGGATAATGATTATGATAGACTGATGTGAAATATTATTAGAGAGAGCAAATACGCACTTGGTACCAGCAAAGTGTTGAATTTTGATGTGAGTATCGGGAAACTGAGAATTCTCATCATCGCTAGAATGTTCCGAAATATCTTCCAACTTGTTTTCAGTTCCTAATCTGTCTTTGTTATCTTCATTTGTGTCAGTCTCTTTATCATCTTCATCGCCTGAAAACAGTTCTGGTATATATTTCAATAAATGGAGCACTTCAGTGTTTGTATGTTGGCGACCAAATCATAAGTCGCCTTCCCTTATGGAATTATTGTTGAGTTTATCTTGACAGTTTGCTTATTTTTTCGCATTTTATCGTACGAGACGAGGACTAGACTGAAAGATTTGGTTTCATAATATTTGGAATAACATTTTTTAATCTATTGATAATTTATAATAAGAACATTAGTGGTTTTTTAAGCGGTACATATAAAAACCGAAAATCCATTTGTTTTCTGTAGCAAAGGGTATTCTTAAGTTAGGGCTTGAAATATAACACACCATTTCAATTGCCATAAAAAATTGTAAAAATCAAGATGTAAAGACAAATGAATCTGTCATAATGCCTGTAAATATAGTTTTAATCTTTGGAAATTTAACAAAATTTACCCACGCATTACAAAGTATGCGATATCCAGAGATTTTTATACTTCTTCCAATAGGAAGTAATTACACCACTTAAATTCCTATACATCTGTAACACTGCTAGAACTTTCAACATTAGTTTTGTCTGTGAGACAAATATCAGCTGTTCCAAGAGGTGAACTGCATCATAGTCTAATAGCTAAAATACACAGTACACCTGAAATGTTTGTAAAATCTGGCCATCAAACCAAAATACCTGACGTCAAGTGTGCATAAATTCAAAAACTCACCATCACTGTCGTCTACCTCAACTTCAACTTCGACTTCATTAGCGTCCTCTTCACTTGCTACACTGCTCAAAGCGTCATCTTCGTTGACAGTCATTACTTTCCTTTCGCCCTTGTGTTTTTCCACGCAGCCATCTTCGAGCCTGAAGAGGAAACTCAGCCCCAAAATCAAGTGGGTGGGCGGCAGAAAATTCTTCTTCCCCCTGATCATGAAACTACCGGTACTCAGGTACTCTCCTGTTGGGGCAGTCTTGCTGACTTGCTCTCCCCACACCCAATACGCGTTTGTCACCACTTTGGCGTCCCATGCAACGCTAAATAATTTGAAATACATGGCGGTTCAGCGTATACAGGGCGTCCTGAAATTAGCCTGCCAAACTTCACCAATGGCTCCTACGAATAGGTGCTCCTGAAGATGATATTTCTTGAATCGCATGGCAAGTTTAGTTCTTGTGCCGGATTGCATCATTTCATCACATGGCGTTTCAAGAAATATCATCTTTAGGGACCCTTTTAGGAGACATTTATCGACTCATATTCATTGAAACTTTTCTTTCTATTTTCGGTCGTAGAAGCCGCTGGTTAAATTTGGCAGGCTCATTTTAGGACACCCTGTATTTGTCAAACTTCAATCACAGTAAACAAAATAAGAAAAAAAAAACAGTTTGATGAATGTAGTTTCGAAAATGCTTGGAGTTTTGTTGAATCATGAAAACCTTTATTCCGATTCTCTGGGAACTTGGTGTATATTATTTTTTGATAGATTCGCCTTGTTTAGTTCATTGGCGTTCCAGTAGAAAACACAATCGTTATTTTTATGAAAAATTATAGTAGACCTCGGTTTTTTCGAGGTTCGATTTCAAGTTCTGTAAACACAACTTTATTTCTTGATTGTTGGAAGTAATGTTGTAATATTTAGTTCACAAAGAAGGAAAAGCACTGGTCACATCCACAATAACCTGTCCTTATTTTCAGTCTGTATAATCATCACTGTTATAGTTCAAATTTGAAAAAGTGTTATTAGGGGTTTTTCAACAAAAAGTAACGACGGGCTCTCGTTTAGAATCACTTGAACATACCTGCACTGAATTTCATCATTCTAAAATAATAAACTATATTTCTTCCAACCCTGTATATTACTATGATCAAAATCGGTACAGTTATGTTCAAAATTATCCCAAACAATCATCGAAATGGTGTGTTTCAAGTGATCCTCACTCAGAATCCATTGCTATTTTTTATGAACAAAGCATCCCTAATAGTTCTCCGGAATTTTGAACCCATAAAAGTGGTTGTAGTTGCCAGAGATTTCAGCACAAAACTGAAGTAATCTACTTCCATCCAGAGAAGAGCCATTCGTTCGGTGGGTGAAGCCACACTCACTACTATTTGACCTCATTAGAACACCGAAGAAGAGTCTGCGACCTTTCAGTTTTCTATAGACACTCACACGCAAACGGTTCCTCAGAAATCTCTGCTATAATTCCATCACTAGCAATGCCAGTCAGACAAACTCGACAGAGCCAGTGTGAACATTTCTTGCTGTGGACACACTGTATATTATTATGAATTGTCAATGCTAATTCTCATTAGAGGACCATCAAGTTGAATTACCAGTGAGACAGTTGGCCTATTTTTTGATGATTGTGAGAAAGACAGTACACAAATATTGAATTGAGTTCCAGTCATATTATTGATTGTAGCTGACCTGGCAAACGTTGTTTGGCTATGTATGTACATTATTTCTAGAAAATATTTTTTTAGTTGAATATTCAACAACACACTTTGATCATTTCATTTTCTACTTCTGTTTAGTTTGACTACCCATAAAAGCGTGTTTCCTTAATTTTTCAAAGTACTATTTATTCTCTACTTCCTTTCAGTTAGGTAATCTATCTCTTTAGTTTTCTAAACTACTATTCATTTTCTACTTCTTTTTAGTTTGACTATCTATGAAGGCGTATATCATTAGTTTTTTGAAACACTATTTATTACAAAGCTTGTTCCACATATTGAATCAGTGATCTTGAATTTTCAAACCATCAGATTGGATCTGCCATCTTGAATTTCTAGAATTTTATGAAAAAATCATAATATCCGAACCCGAAAACCCCCAGATATCAATTTTGAACAGAATATCGTATCATGATAACAAAAGTCGTCCGCCATCTTGAATTTTCCAATTTTGACAAAAGAATTATAATCGACCACAAAAATCCCCAGATACCAATTTTGAATGGAATCGGATTATAATTACAAAACTCGTCCGCCATATTAGATCCGCCATCTTGCATTTCTTAATTGTTTCTTTCATAGGATCCTTCTTCTGACAATAACAAAGACAACAAAAAAGATTTGGTGAAATCGGTCAAGCCGTTTACGATTCTATAAAGACATTCACTTTTTTATATAAATATTACTACATGAGCTCAGCTCACCTGTAACAAATTGCCATAGTACCAGCTTCATTCAGTGTTTTTGGAGGTACGGGTAATCCACTCGGGTTCTTTATAATAACACTACTAGCACCGTGAATATCTGCGTGAACATATACGTCAGTTGGTTTCATATATCTGGAAAAATATATTATATCTTCAATACATACCATTATCTACACACCCATGAGTCTAGAATTCAAACTGCAAATGTGCACACAAAGCCCAGGAGGCTGAGGTGGAGCCGGTGACAGGACCAGCATCCAAGGAAAAAAAATGTATTCAAACAGTTTTGAATGTAGGAGATTGAATTTAATAATGTATATAGTGGATTTTTAATATTGTACCTAGTAACTTTTAATGTGTTGTACCTATTATAGTACCTGTTTTTGTATTTTGAAGAATGGTTGTTATTTGCCACACTTCTGTTTTATTTTGTTTATTTTTTATTTCTGTAAAGTTCACTTTGAATACTAATAAACAGTCATATTATACCAATGGGCCTTCTCAATCATTTCTAGAAAAAATATAACTTGAATATGGCCAACAAAGGTCGGAGGCGAAAAAAATGTTTGAATGTTAACCCATGTTAACCATTACACTGAATGCACTGTGAATACATTCCCAACATGCCCAAGGGCAAAGCTGTTCCCTCAGAAATATTTAGTGAGTATTGCATAAAAGAATAGGGCCTGTGAGCTTCTCACATTTATTTCCCAATCAGTTGGTTGAAGTCCTGCCAAATTGTTATTGAAAACCTTCACTGAGATCAGTATTTCTGCAATTAAAGATTTTGTCCTTGACCACATTTATAAGGCCCACTGGCTGGAGGGCTTGTTTTTTTCAACATCATATCATCACAATGTTCCTGGGAAGTATAAGTTGCCATATCGACGCTATTTCCGACTGGACTCCAGATAAACAGGAAATATTAAAATAGGTCAAACGTCCCTAAGGTATTTTTGATGTTTAAAGCAGTTTATTATGCACATGTACATACAAACGAATTCAACTGTAAATAAATTATTGTACTTTCTTCTTCAGATTTTTTTAAGTAATTTATGGAACAACTGATTTTCACGAAAACAGCCAGTGGCGCCCGACTCATTTCTAGAGAATGGGGATATTATGTGTACCAATGAATTTTCTTGTTACTTATTTTGATGGATTTCAAGAGGATCACTTTTTTATTTCCTCAGGTAAGGAATAATAAAATGTTTTCAATTAACCTTTGATGATCTGTATTCAAGTTATAGTGATTTTTTGCAGTACCTATAATTAATTATTGAGAAATTTCCCATATCTTGCAAGTCTCCATCATCCATCAAAATTAATGTACATTAATCTGTACCACCCTGTGTAATCATCTCATCTGCCTGTATCATATGTACTATCTATAGTTGACTTATTAAATTTATTCTAATGTAATAGCACCAATGACATTAGTTTGTGTCATTTCTCTTCTCAAGATTTGTAGATTCTTACCTCTTCACTATCAACTCGTTTTGTTGCTGATCTCTTCCAGCAATCACCAAATAGTTCTCAGAACTGACAAACCAGAAAAACTTCTCAAACCAATAAACCTTTCTTGCTTTGTTTATATTTGTTATGGTCTGAACCTCTTTCAAAGTTTGTTTTGTCTTTCTCTCAGCAGATTTCAAGGCTTTACTTTGGGATTCTATGGTCTTCTGCTGTTTTTTAGCTGCTGAGCGTTTCTGATCATAATATCTGCAAGTATATCAATTAGTTTCTGGAAGCTGAAATAATATCCGTCATACTTTCTGGCGTTTGCAAAAGCAGAAAGTGCCAAATCAATTTCAACTACCATAGATGGTAGCTTCTCATCCTCATTAGATTCTTCAAAAGGATCCACCAGATGCAGGCTGATGTGGTTCATTTCTAGTTTCAGCTGTTTTATTAACTTAGCTACTGGTTCCCCTTTTGTGGCAGCTGTTTTCACCATATCATCAATATCTTCCCAAGAGACCTACCAGTATAACTTCAATGAAAATCTAATAATGCAAATTGAATTGTGTAATGTCTCAACATTGAGTTATGTCAAATAATCATCACAACTGTATTAAAGAGTCCCTAAACTATCATCAATGTCTTCCCAAGAGACCTTACCAAAACAGGTTCAATGAAAATCTAATAATGCAAATTAGATGGTGTAATCTCTCAACATTGAGTATTGTTAATTTATCATTACAACTGTATGAATATTTCCGTAAACTATAAATGAATTTGCCACAAGGGTTATATGAGTATTTTGAATGGTCAAAATGAAATAAAGTATAATATAACTGAATTATTTTTTTTTTGACATCCGTTTTTCGTTTCCTCCAGTGTCTCCAAATTGAAATTATATTAATTAGTCATGGATTTCAAATATTTTGTGAGATTCACATGATGTAATTCAATATTTTGTGAGATGTTTCATATATCATGAAAACTATACTTTTCAAGTTTAGTATTATTACATATTAATATTGTTCTCACTTGATTAGCCAATAGAGTTTGAACTACTAAAACGGCATTATCCACCAATTCCTGATTTCTAGTGATGAGCTCAGCTTTTTGTTTATCAACATTTTGTGTTTTTTCCAAAGCTTGTAAACGTTGGTCATGGTCTTTTCGGACATTTGCCAGCTTTTTCATAGCATCTTTCTCCTGTTGCATTGCACGCAATTCCAGTTTTTGACTTTCCAATGAGGAGAAGAATTCATCAACAGCTTCATTGAAACTGGTGAAATCCTTGTGAGGCAGCGATTTATGTTGTTCAAAAAGGATGGGATGGAACTCCTGGTTAGAGAGGAACTCAGATGAACTGTTAGCTTCAGTAGCCACACGTTCTTCTCTTTTTTGTATTATATAACCCTAAAAATGTTTCATTAACTGATTTGTATGGTGAAGTATTTATGTATTTATATATTTTTATTGATAAATTTTCAATTTAACTGGTTCTATAAATATAAAAATGTACCATCTTCAATGAAAATTCAGATCAATAATATGGAATCATAAACAACCTCTCTTATAACTGATTCATTGTCCTTTCCTATTTCTGTATTTGTTTCACTAGACCCTAGACTTTTGCTAGTGACTTCTCATCTGATCTACAAGACCTTGCATTTCATGTCTACATAATAATAAAAGTGCTTTATTGGCACCCTGGCATGTCTACATTTTTTGCATATTTTCAAATTTTTCTTCAGATTTATTAGATTTTTCTATAATTTATATCCAAATAGTGTATTTGTTCCTTCCACTTCCAACTTATCAATCGAAAAAGTTAATGAAAATGGTAACCAAGATGGAAAAAATAAAGATTTTCTGCAACCATGAACCCTCAGGGTTTTCAAGATATGTATTAGAATAAAAAAATCCTACTTTCTTTCATGTTCCAAGCAAATGAAAAAGTGTTCCATGTTAATTCTCATTCTGGATAATAATTAATGAATGAATAGTAGCTGTATCAATCACAGAAAGCATACTTTTGATAGCTCTACAAAAAAAAATCCTCCCATTTGGATCCTTTCATGATTTTCTATTATAATAAACTTCAAGTTTGTTTTTATTGTAGACTGCTGGGTAGGCCCTGAATAACTGCTATTGAACATCTGCCTCCTCAGATTGTTGCAACTTTTCAGAAATATTTATTGAAAATGAGAATAAATATAAAATGGTCCTTATTAGTTTGGAACAATTAGAATATAAAATTGGAAATTCCTTTTTTATATAAAAGTTCCAATACCTTCAAAACCCTGATATTTTCTCTGAGGTCAAGTTGTGGTTTTCTGATAGTTTATGAACTTTTTTCTTGGAGTGCAAGAAAGGAAATTCTTATGATATTCATGGAACATCCTTGAATCATACTTTACCCACCTACCCAAAAATCAAAATCACTTGTAGATTCATCACAAATTACAAACCTTCATGCAAACCTACAACATTAATATAATATCAAATGAAGTTATCAAATACCTCATTATGCCCTGATAGTGATTTCTGGAACAAATGTTCAGCTTCATTAATTGCAGACATAAGAGCATCAATATTGTTAGCTATATCAAAATCCTTTCCAATTTTTGTTGATCCAGAAAATCCATGAATACGTAAAACATGTTCAATTAGAGGAGGACCATATTCTGAAATTATTCAATGTACATTTAGTAATTTGAGTAATAGGTTTTCTCAATGGATTGAAAATCAAATGATCAGAAATATTCCCAAGTAGATTTTCAACACTTCTGACTAGTTCATCCAACATGCAAATTTGTGAATCATGCTATGTTCTTGATTCAACTGTCAGTACTGAATCTACTGATTATTTGTTGGGAAATTAAAAATTTCACTGAAAGTGACAGTTCTGGAGAGCAAACATACTATCCATTCTGAATATTTTTGGCTAAGATTTCTGGTGCAATTACCGTCCCCCATAAGGTAGTATGGAGTCAGCAATCTGTCAACAATGGAGTGAAAATATTTTTACCAAGATCAATTTATGATTATCAAAGAAAATTATTGAAATCATGGCATTTATATATTCTGGTCATTAAAAATCAAAGGTCAATTTGTTATTGATTTGCCATCATGGAAACTCTTCTGAAATAATTAGTTGCTGGTCCATGTACAAATTATTTTATTGTGTATTACTTCTGCTGTAGAAGTAGTCTCACTGTGAGTACTAAACTAATTTTGAACAGCAAAATTTCAGCATTGACACTGCCAACAGTTGAATTTGGAACATAGCTATTGTAACTTCCAACATCATATTTCACCAATATCATTTACCTAAATTTGGCACAAGGATCTTTTTCAGTTGATCTCCTGGTTTGCCACTTTCTAAAAGCTCTATCATCTTTTCTTTACTGATGACACCTTCTCCTCTAGCGCGATCCAATGGATATTTTTCTTTGACAGCAAATTTAATCTTATCCCCCTCAGTGTGAGGTCTGAGGACATAGAGAATAACATATTCATAATCAGTAAGAAGCATATTCCCTCTGTCAAACAACTCAATAATGACATGATAAGCTGCTTCTCCAGACCCAAATGTTAAGTCAACTATCCTATCCACCCCCAATTGTGTTAGAGATTCCAAACGTTTATTTTTCAAATGTTTCCTCATCTGTAAGTCAAAGATTATTTTGTCACTTAGGAAGTACTAGAAATTTATTTTACCTTCATACTGAACCCTGAAGGAGCAACGTTTTTTGGCCATTCAAAACTAGTGGAATGAATTCTTATACCAGACTCCAGAAGCAATACTTGCTTCTCTTCAGTTCTCTGAAGTCTGATCAGATAGGTTTTATTATCAATGTCATAAATATTGTTCACCCGCATTCCAATGAATCTAGAAGAAATAATGTTGTTTTGAAATATTCCAGGAAATATACATATCATATTTATTGCATGAAACTTTCTTCAGATTTATGATTCTTCAACTTAGGAACTTACTTTTGCAGCTCTGCAATGGTGCATATTATATCGTAGGTATTGTACCTGGTTTTCATGATTTATTGCAGAAGAATGAAGAAAACTAAGAAAAGTCCAGATGGATGATGAAAATGATGAGATTATAATGATTATAGAAAATTGGAAAATCAACAAATCAACATAAACAACGTACAAAGTGTTCTGATAAGTGTCAGTGTCACTGTCAATAGTGTCACAGATGTCATAAGTGACATAAGTTGAGGCGACTTGAGGAACGTCAATCGCAATCAAGAAATCAAACAACCATGATTTTAGGTATTATTATGTATTTTTAGACCAATCAGAACCACTCAAGCTATGGCGGCTAGTTCGAATTTCTGTACGAAAAATGATAATTACATAAGAAATATATTGGCCTCCATAATTTCCTCCAGAAAATCTCTTAAAGGGGCAATGTTCATCGTGCCACAGATCATTACTGGATCTGAACTGAGATTGAGTTACTGAGATGTTTATAGATATCTGAACCTTTTTAAGCTGAGATCTGAAGTCATATTGGCGCAACGTTGATTGATATACCACGCTGACAAGCGTATAATATATCAATCAACGACACAGAGTACCACGATAATAAAAAAATTCTTGAATAAACACGTAAGGTACAGGTTGTTCCATCAGCGCACCCTATTTTTACAGACATAACCATTCGTCTAAAAATGCGTTCATAGGTCGAAAACCTTCGTTGTTTGAATTCTTGCCAACTGCAATGACCATATTGTTTTATGTTCCATGTCAGGTGATTCCAATGAACATTCTCGATTTTATATTTCGGAACACATATTTCAGCGGAGTCAGTGGATTATCTAACAGTACTGACCAGTTGAATTCGGAATATAGCCTCAGTTGTTTATATTCATTGGGTGAATCCTTCAATATAAAGGTGGAAAGACACAAGCGTCTCGGACCAGAAAGGAGCCATGGGTGTCGGCTTCATTCTGCTCTGACCTTGAATCAGTTCGATCTACAAATCATAAAACTCCCACATTTATAACCTGTCATATAGAGGCCTGTTCATTTGTATTGCTGAACTTGCTGAAGTTGATTTTTTTCCATAGTTGTTTCTGTTCATGACATGATGAAAACAGAGAAAGTCATAGAAAAAAATAAAGTTCAGCAGGTAGATAAAGCACAAAACGCATTTCGAAAGGACCACATGGAAGGAGTTAGGAGAGTTAATTCAAATGCCTCCACATCTATTGCAGATTTCGAATTTACCGCCATAAAAGCTAGACTTGTTCTGATTGGTCGTAACAGATGTCTGGGCAAAACGAATCTGACGAGTTCAAGGCTCCCCACTCAAATGACTGCAAATGTCAAATGAGTCATTGTTTTGTTTTTGTTCTTGTGATTTTGTGGCCAGCTTTGATGTTTGATTGCTGGGGACTGCTCTGCTGCTGCTGGACTGGGAGTGGGACAGTTTTGTTTAGAACTGGCTCCTTCCTTAAGTTCTGCATGTGCTGCTCTCCTTCCATAAATATATTGAATGGGGGGATTCCATTCGAACCACGAACTATGCGAGTTTCGTTTTCGTTCGAATCAATCGAATCCCCGCTCAGTTTAATTCAATGCTAGTGTGTGTTATGTGGGGTTTTCCTGTGAGATGATGTGATCGTGCTTTGTGTTTAACCCGTTTTCTTGAAAATCAATTAATCAAAAATTACACAAACATATTCCCAAAATGGTTCAACTGGATTTTTCATCAACCGGTAAGATTTTCGCATGGTACCTAGGTGATTCGTCAAGTGAAGGGGTGAGGGTGTATTCATGAATATTGACAATTCATTAAAAAGTTTTGTCAAACATTTTAATACGTTTTTCATCGATTGTGAACACGTATTGGGATCTAAAATGTGATATAAAAATGTAGTGGCTCCTTGGAATTCAAAAAATATATACAGGGTGTTATTAAATATTGATGGCTAAACATAGGATATGGTTCTATAGCTCATATTATAAAGAAAAGTTCATATGAACATATTATGCCCTAAACCTCTTGAAACTTTCCAGCTTTCACAATGTATAAAAAACTGTCACATTTATGATTACTTGTCAAACAAAGTCCACAATGTAATCAGTCAAATGTCATTATTTTGAATACAATAGGGATATAATTTCATCCCATTAAATTATACCTGAGATTCGCTGAGATTATACCACAAATGGATGAAACTCGGCCTGAAAATTGCTCAGAAAATTGTTTTTATTTTTTTTACAGGAAAACTGTGCGTCGGACGCAAAAAAATCAGGGGGTCAAATTGTTGCAAAATAAATGAGTATTTTAAAAATAATCTCCTGTATACATCCCATACGGACGGCACTGGTAGAAATATTTAAAAATTTCCTACATTAAAAAATGCCTATTGATGCTCAGTATAGTTGCATGTCAAATTTCATGGAAATTTCTAGAACATTAGTTAGATAAAACCGAGGATAAAACTAATACCATCCAGTGGCTCTAGGGTACCCTAGCTTAAAAGTTGAAAGGTTTAGGGCATATGTTCATATGAACTTTTCTCCTTAAAATAAGCTAAGGATCCATGTCCTATATTTTTAACCTCGTTTTTAACCATCAATTAAATTACACCCTGATTTTTTTCTGATTTTCACCCCTTGTAGCATCCCCCCTACAGCCTACAAAATATTTCCACACTTACTGAAGGCCTATTCTGACAAGGGCTATCAATATTGTTCGGCTCCAACCTCAAAATGTTCATCCAACTGGATTTCTGTTTTTTTTTTCAAATACATACATTTTTCTCAGTGTATATTTGTGGATGTGGCTAGTTTCACACCCGTCCGTCCAGATAGATATACACGTCAGTGAACCAAACACCCTTCATCTCGCCCTTCACAGTCCTATTTGTCAAAATTGATCATTCTAGAAGACGTGATTTTGACATGGTTTCTTGAGGGGCACACAAACTATCTGTTAGGTTATTTTTGAAGAGCATAGCCGAGCATAGCACTGGTCATCCCTGCCACATCCACAATATAATAACAGTTTCACCCGAGGTTTCACCAAACAAAATTATGGAATTCAACCTGTCAAATGACGTAATTCTGGAATGATTAATATGAGATGATGTCATTTTGACACTCGGATTTTTTTTTATAAAAGTGCCTGATGCATCTCCAAACTCACCAGGGTTCTCAAGAGAGATTAAAAATCATAAAAATGTTGCTTTCTGCCCTATCAGGAGTTAGCCTGCTATGTTTTGCATCATAAATATTACCAGCTTCAGAGAAAACTTGTTAACGGCCGATAGACCGATATATCGGTATTTGAAATATCGGTATCGGCAAAAATTTCTATATCGGTCGATCCCTAATATTTTCAAAATTTTGTAAAGTATTTTGTTCCATAACACTTTGGACAACTTTGTCATAATTTAACCGGCCCTGTTTCTATATCACCATTCTAAAGAAAGGGTCTCTTTATAGGGTTTTTGGAGGTTTCTCCCATACAACCAATAAACCCATATTTCATACTTTACAATCGTTTACTTACAATATAATATTCAAGATGTTGGTATTTTTAGAATATTTCAACACCTATTTGCTTCTATTGTAGGATCGACTGTTGGAGTAATTTATGCGAGATTTATGTAATAATTGCTGATGATGGACATATACAAGGTGTTCCTGAACAATCATAAATTCTACAGGGTGAACAAGAGACTAAAATAGGTGGATTGAAACCACCTTACCTCTATAGAAAAATGCACTGTTGAGCTGTGAGAGATTTTGTCGAGGATTTTGTTATTATATTGATTGAATTTGTATGACATGTTTTCTATGTACATTCACTATAGGAAATTGCCGTAAGAATTTCAGAGCAATGCTTTCATCAAGGATTTCGAAATATTATAAAATTGTTCTTCATCGCCCTCTCAGGGCTCAGCGGTGTATTTTTTATAGAAGTAAGTTGATTTCAATCCGCCTATTTTGGTTTGTAGTTCACCCTGTAGAACTCGATATGTCCGAAACATATACCCCCTAGTGTGATTCGTCCGAGGATTAGTCCGAGGGTTTTTCCACAGTAAACTGTAGAGATGACTGTGTATTATATGGTATTATCGAGAGTATTATTTAGCATTTACTACTGCATTGAAGTGCATTCCTTGTGTATTCCACTTTGAGAAATGACGGACTTCTACCAAAAATTATACAGGGCGTATCTAAATAACGCCGAAAATATTCAAGGGGTGACTCCTTAAATTTTTTCGGTGTTATTTAGATACACCCTGTATAATGAGCAAATTTCAGACGTCAAAACTGACTGCCCCTTTCAATGATCAAAGTTGATCTAAAAATAAATATGGAAATGCAATCTGCCTATCAGTTTAAATACTCAATGGATTTTATTTATAGCTTATAACAGATGTAACTCAAGGGAAAATAATGTAAATTACGCACCGAATTATCTGAATACCTAACCTAGACATGCCTAGACATAAAGTACTTTGAAATAGGCGGAAATAGGCTTATCAATTACAGTATTATGGCCAGAACAATGATTTGTGCCAATTAAACTTCATTGCATTAAGAGTTGTACCTTGCTTAACATGATTAAACTTCGGATTAAACAAATACCTCGACGAACATCGAGACAAATACTAAAAAAAATATTTTTGGCATTGAGTAGGTGGGTATGAAGCTTGGCATTTAGTATTTTTTGAGGTATTTTTGCTCGTACTTTTGTCTCTGTCTAGTATTTGCAGGTATTAGCCATTGATAGATAATAATTATATTTACTTACTTTATAATGTCTTCAAAGCAGGGTTGGCATGAATTAATTCATATGAATTGAATCAGTGATTTAATTCGTGAATTAATTCCATTGACTTTTTTCGAAAAAGTCATGAATTCATTCAAATTTTTAAAAATGAGACAAATTGCACTATAACCTTTGATTTCAACTAGTTTAAACTGAAAAATTCGATCGTATTTTGGCAAGCCTTTGTTATTTCAAGCATGACAGAGATTTTTACTAACAGATATATATTATACAGTATCAAGTATCATCCATAAAGTCCATAACATATGAGAACAGGTTTATTATCACAGCATCAAATTTTTTTCTCTCGGCGATCCATTATGCATATCCGATAACTTGAAAATCGATTTTGATTCATGTCACGTGATCACTGGTATGGTGATGAATAAAAATAATACTATAAAGCGACTATAAGTGGGATTAGGTAACAAAATATCCATAAACATTGCTATTCCACATTCAGTTTCGAGCAATTTTTGGAGGAGAATTGGCTATATTTTTCCAAATATCATTCAATTTTGTTACAATTCTCTTTTTTTTCTGACAGTAGTGATGTTGATGATGTACAAGTTGAATAGAATTCAATTTCATGCTCACATATGGAGTTTCCAGCCATTATTTGAGAAAACTGAAAATAGCTATTTTTATTTTTTTTAAATAACTTTCCATCTAACCCCACTTTTTGCCATCGTAATTTTTTGAATTTACCGCCATACCAGTGATCAAGTGACATGTGTCAAAATTGACTTTTAAGTAGTCAGACATGCATAATAGATCCCCGAGAAAAAATGTTTCGATATTCTACTAATAAACTTTTTCTCCATGTGTTAGGAACTTTATGGATGATACTGGATCTATATATGTATCTATTATTTTATATTCTATCATCACCTCGATCATCACTTTTGATTTTGTTTTGAAAAAATGACATAATATATTATGATGTTATTCTACAAGATTTCTGAAGGGAATAAAAACATAGTTTTTTTGTTTCTTTTTTCCATTTCGTTTTGGGTAAATGGAATTTGTTTTTTTTTTCAAATTAATTAATTCAAAAAAGTCTGACTTAATTCAAAAAGTCGGACTTTGATGACTTTTTTATGAAAGTTATGACCTATCAACCCTTCTTTAAAGTAAAAGTGGTGTTTCATGAAGTGCTACAAAATGTATCCTTTTAAAATGTCGTTTATATTGGAAAATTTTCGAATACGTCGAAAAATCATACAATTTTTCATAATTCTTTGCACTTATTTATATACACGATGTCCAAGATTAGAATGTCTACCATGGAGATCTCAAACCATAAGAGATACGAAGATGGTTAAATTAGAGAGAAGCTGCACAGTAGTGCACAGCCTATAAATATGTATGGTGTTTAATAACTTTTGAAATTCCGATTAGTTTCGGAGATATGCCTAAATAACCGAAATTTGCCGATTTCGATTTTATTTTTTCCTTACGTTATTTGAAGGGATATAGGAAAACAGAATATACTTTCTTATTGCCACTTTTTAAGCTCTACAAAACAATGTAAACCATTTCCGAGATCCCCATGATAGACATCCTTATCTTGGACACACTCACTTACTGATATCATTTATTCTCATTATGTTTTTTTTTTCAGGATCCCTTCCACAAAATGGGGTTGAAGACATGACAAGGCTTACCATTTTAGATGAAGAAGTAATCAATAAGAATCTCAGGGCAAGATATGAAAATGACAAAATATATGTATCCTTTGAATCATCATGATTTTATGATCTGACTTGATAAGAACATGAAAATGAAATTGCCTGAAATAGCAATTCATTTTTCATAATGGATCCCTTGAGAAATCACTACTGGTTCTCAATTGCATCATCGTTGTGTAGTAGCAAAGGCTTATGATTTGCCTTGTGATTTGCAATATACAACAGATCTGAATGTATTCCACTAACTATTTGGGCTAGTAATATTCCATATTTCACAAGCTATTTTATTTTTTCATGGACGATATGCTTCAATCTGTTTATTAAGCTTGGAGCAAACCCCCTGTGTTTTGAAAAGGACAAATTTTGTTTCTACCATTTTAAAATAACTAAATCTCATCACTAGAAGATCTAGAATGAATAATATTGATTCAGTATTATAACCACCATTATTTGTAGTTGCTTCAATTGCTTCAAAAAACTTAGCTGAATTGTTATACCCAAAAGTAGAATTAATTTTTCCACCATATCGTCGACGAAACCGCAAAACCAAGTAACTGCAAAAACCAAAATTTTCAGGAGACACTAAAAAAAAATAATTTCGGGTTAACTGATCAGATTCAATAAAAAATAGTCACAAACCACCTGATTATTATTATCCTCATGTTTGTACAACGATTATTGAAAAAAGTCATTGTTTTTGTTTGTCAGCGTGAGATACTTGGTTTTGACATCTGCTTCTGTGCGAAAGCAACAACAATTATTCAGAAAAGTAATTCGCAAAAACACGTAACTTCATTTTTCTGGACTTTCTGCTCGACAAATACTCAAGATAAATTCTCACATCCTGTGTTGAAATACCAATTAAAGTTGAGAATAAACTGTTTTACATATCTGTTCTATGAAAAGTCACTAACCAATTACCAGAAATTAATCTCTGTGAAAAGAATTTGATCACAAAATATCAGAGGCGTGAATCACGTTGCCAACTGTTAGATACTTGTTTTTGACGACCCCTTTTATTTTGTTTCTCAGATAAGGTGTTTTGTATTTATGGATTTTAAACTATTTACAATTTTTTACCAGTTATGAGGTTTTGCATACGCGTCCCCACCAATATGATAGACCGATTGCCGCCAGAATCCCATTTTCGAATTTTTGTCAGTTACTTGGTTTTGCCATTTCACCGACGATATCAGCCCTTTAGAAGCTACCTCGGAAGCTACCATGCATTACTACTTATAATAAAATGATTTAACTACCCCAATGCCTGCTAAAATGTGGAAAAATACAATAATTCGTCATAAATCTGTTCCTCCAAGGGTGTCTCAATGAATTCTCAAGTGAAATAGAAACAATAGAACCACAACATTGTGACATAACATTGAGGCGATTATACTTGTTCAGGAATAAAAGAATATTGTGTACAGAAAATTCTAGATACAGTTTCGAGTAACATAAAATGAATGATAATTTTTCAATATGTCATGAAGACTAGATTTTCATGAGAATAAAAATCATGGGCTTTCAAAATAATTTATTCATTTGTAAAATACATTGGTAGTGGTGAGATAGTTAATTATTTTACAAGAGAAAAATACTATGATGTTTGCTGTCAATTAATGTCATCACTGATAACTTATTTTGGGTTTTCATCATTTTGCCTCACAGATATATCAAGAGATGAAAAATTAGATAATGAATCATCACAACTTGAACATAAATATCCTTATATACCTTATACCAGGAATGCCTATTACTAACTTATACGCCCGTCGATAAAGTGCTACTTTACGCCCGGTCGTGCATGAAGAATATTATTACCACGGGACCTCATATCCCTCCGCTGATGACTTTCGTATCGGTGTATAGCAAACTTTAATCAACATAATAACAGGTTTTTCAATTTTCAAGTCAAAATTACTGTTTATCATTATATAACATTGAAATCTTGATTGAAATGTTCATTTCAATGATAGATATTAAGGATGATTACTGATTATGAACCCATATGCTCCTTCATCACAACTACTCCACTTAGATATAATATGGACTTCTACATTCATTCATATTGATGTTATCTGATATAGGTTCTAGTTTGGTTGGAATTATCCCGGAATATCCTAACTAATAACTGAGATGAAAGGAGGGTTCTCACCTCTAAAGTGGAAATTTTACATTTCAAAAATTCTATTCAGTGTAGATATTTAAATCCTCCTCATAAAAGTATGCCACTATTTATAATCAACCAATGTTAATTGATATGAATGTCATGTTTATGGATAATGGAAATCTGATCGTAATCATTAGATTGACATTATTTGATTGAACTTTATTTGACTATGAATAGATTGACCGAAAATTCAGTTGATCGAAATTGCAGTTGATCCAATAGTATTATTTTGATTATTAGATGAATTTGTCAATATGTATGTACCTATGTACTACACTCGGTTTTACATAATTGATTTTCCTTAATTATATTCAGACATACACGGGCACAATACTCGTAGCTGTTAATCCTTACAAGTACGTTGACATCTATACCCAAGTAAGTACCTAATATCGTTGTCTTGTAAACCATAATAAGTTGGGGTAAGAGCGTGATTAGGGTTTTTGCTATTTCTTGATTCCTGAAAAGCTTTTACTCAAGCTTGAACTGTTTCTAGACTAGCCGAGGTAATCTTCAAAAGAAAAACACATACTCAAAGTGGGTCGACCACACTTTAAGTAAAGATATGAATCGGTACATAATTACAAAACTCCTCCGCCATATTGGATCCGCCATCTTTAATTTCCCAATTTTGACAAAAGTATATAATAATCTCCATCCCCAAAAACCCCCAGATACCAATTTTCAATATTATAATTACAAAACTCGTACGCCATATTGGATCCGTCATCTTGAATTTCCAATTTTGTTCTCTCATTGGAACCTTCTCCTGATAATAACAAACACAACAAACAAAGAATTAGTGAAATCGGTCAAGCCGTTTACGATTCTATAAAGGAGATACATACAAAACATTCATTTTTATATATGTATACAGGGTGTCCCGAAAAGGTCTGTTCAAAATCTTAGCACATAGTCCTGAGGTCAAAATAAGTCAATTTAAAGGAACTTACCTCAGTCCAAAATTGCGCCGTTTCGAAGATACAGAGTGGTAAATTTGAAAAATAAAAATCGACAAGTACACTTCAAAAAAGTATTATGAAAAATCCATTTTTGCACTGCTCATTCACTGGCCAAATTACATCCAGGAAGATGATAGCAAACATTTTGTATTCAAAATAATTTAAATATTCCGGTGTGGCATATATCAAACAGTAAAAACCGTACTATCTCGAAAACGGATTACTTTTTGCAAATGTACCTTTTTTTGAAAATATTCACAAAATCATTTCCCACAAAAAAATAGTGGAAAACTACACTGAGAAAAACGTTATTGCCATTCTTAGCGCTCTCTAATGGCCACAGTGAAAAGGTGTCCGTATTCGGGTTCCGAATCACGAAAATCTCCTAACTACCAATTTTTGAACTGATACATTCTAAAATGTTCATACATTTTGAAAAATTCGATTTTTATTTCTAACTTTACCACCCTGTATCTCGGAATCGGAGCAATATTGGACTAAGGTAAGTTGCTTTGAATCAGTTTTTTTCAATCTGAGGAATATGTGCTGAGATTTTGTACAGACCTTTCAGGGTCACCCTGTATAGATTTTTAGGAATTATTTATTGAATAACTCATCAAATTATATGTTCAAACCTTTTTTTAATACTATTTCATAAAATTTTACAAAAACAAATCCATTTGATACTGTGAGGTGAGTATACAATCATATACGTATTCAGTGAGAGAAACACTCTTTTGAGGAATGTTTACCGACCCTACTGTGCGAGTTTTTTCAGAAATAATCAGAGAATAATAATATGTGAACATTATGCGACATACCAAGACATTATTTATCGATTTGGAACTCGAAGGAAATTAATAGGTCATGGTCACCGGAAATTGACCATTTCCTCAATCACAAATATCATAATTTGAATAAGGATATAGGGCGAATTCTAGCGAGCCGATTTTTCATCTTTAGTCGTCTATTACGACGTATTTTCAGAATTATAAACACAATTAGATCGAGCTTATTACTTGATAGAAGGAGTAGAAGGTAATTAAATTATGTCAATGATTTTTCAATCAGCCAGTAAACTGATAATGCCAACATATTTAGGACAATCGGGCCAAAACATCCGGTGTATTATTCTGATATGCAGGATTGCAATAATTGGCCGACCAACTAGCCATGACACCAGTCTCCATCTCTCTCTTCATAAAGACAGGATTTCTATGAAGACAAATGAAATTCTTCCCTAGTGGTCGCTTACTAGATGCAGGGGTGGATCTACATAACGGCTAGCCTCCATTGAAAAAATGGGCAATAGTAAATTTAAAAAAACTGAAATTTCAGAAATCCTTATCTCAAGCATTCGAATTTATATAACAAAAGCAGACCTCGCATGCATTTTTTCAGTTCAATATTCATCAAAACACTATTATTATTTTACATATTTTCTACTTCTTTTCAGTTTCGCTATCTATAAAAGCATGTTTATTGACTTTTTCAAACTACCATATAATTCAACTTCTTTTTGGTTCGCTTGAATTTCCCAATTTTGACGAAAGAATCATAATATCCGACTCCTAAAACCGCAGATGAAAATGTTGAATAGAATCGGAACATAATCACAAAACTCGTCCGCAATATTGGATCTACCATCTTGAATTCCCTAATTTTGACGAAGGAATCATAATTTTTGATCCCCAAAAACGCCCACTTACAAATTTTGAATAGAATCGGTATATAATCACAAAACTCGTTCGGTATATTGGTTCCACCGTCTTGAATTTCCAAATCCCGCCCTTTCCAAATTACAACTGTACAACTTTCTTCCTCAACAAATATATTTTCATAGCTTACGTGTGAACTAAACTCTCAGTAGCCCCGTATCAAATATATATTAAATGTCATGCATAGACCTTTAGGACCACCTTGTAGTTCTTTCAGGATTTCAGGACATAAGGGTTTATTGTTCTATTCTTTGTGTTAAGAAATCCGAGACTTACAGAAAATAATATGTAAATATAAGTTCAGATTAAGGTTTTAATCTTCTCCCGGTTTTTTATGTTTGTTAGATGTATTAGCAGCATGTAGTATTTTGGTCCATAGAGAAATACGAATCTATGTGTATGAGTTTTGTGAAACAATTTCAGTTCAATTTTCTCGGTGAATCCACTCAATTTGGATTTGAAATTTCCATTTTTTTTTTTTCATGTTTGAGTAGACGTCTTCATGGTATTTACTTATGAAAGTCATTCCCCAGTTGGTAATTTAAAAAGAGGGGCTCAAAAGAAACCTAATATTACACCGACAATGAGTTTGTCTAAAGACCGTAACGATATTCGGATTCCCACAGTCCAAAGGAAATAATTAATTCCATTGTTAACCCCTTTATTCCTTTATTTTATACCTATAGTAGGTGTAGGTACGCTGGAATAAGGATGGGATTTGAGGTACAATTGAAGATACACAAATTGAGGCGGAGAAATAAACAATTTTTCTGAAATTTCATATCCCTGGGTGTGGATTATTTGTCTTTTCAGGTTATATATATACCTATATAAAAATACATAGGGAATTCGCATTCTCTATATGTGATGGAAATATTTATTCTCTCTCGAGCACAAAAATACATTTCAATAATTATAATGTTCAGAAATAAAATATTTCCTACTGACAAACCTCGTGACAAACCCTTTGAAGATGCAAAAGTTCATGACATTTCTCAAACATACTTAGAATCTGTTGTAAGATATATTTCACAAAAAAAATGTATTTACCTAAAGTTAATCATGTTATAACAACTAGATCAGTAAAAAATTAAAATATAATTGTTCCTACTTCTGATGTAACTATTCAGCAAAGTTCATTTCATATAAGGCCGAAAATTTATAACATACTTACTACCAAACGAACTTCAAAGGCAAACCATACAAAAAAATCTAAAATAAAATATCATCTTGGATTTTTAAAAACAAACCCATTATCTAGCTATTAGTTTGACATATATTGCATATATTTTATATATTCCGATTGTATATATTAGTTCGATATTAGTCCAAATAATAGTATACTTATATAAGACGATTCATCAGCGAATTTACTCATGGGTGAATTATCTGTTGTAAATGTACTTTAATAATGACTGGTGCACACACCAGCTTTTGAAGCTCATTTTGTACCTGAAAAAAATGTATGTAAACCATATAACTGTTCATGACTATATTAAATAAATACTCAAATACCCAAATATTCAACAGAAAACAACAACTTTCCTGGCTACATGCGTCGACGAACATTGAATTATACTCGTAATTATAATATCTATTGAACACACATAATAAGATTTTGTAAATGAAATATTCTGAAGTGAGAATTTGCATTATCCTTGAGATCAAAATAGGTATGCACATTATATCATTCTGCATATTCAACAGAAAACAACTACTTTCCTGGCTATTTGCCACGTCAAACATTGAATTGTATCTGTTGAACATCCTAAAGAAGAACACGAAAATAAAAATTCTCTGATATTGAGCATTGACATTCTCTTACAAATTGGATTCGATGACGTTGTCAAAAATATATATGTCAAAATACGTATCTGAAAAATACAATCGACGTGTCTGAGCTTTCCTCCCCAATGGTCATATCAAGCTTTCAATGAATTTATTCCAACCTTTACGTGGTCACAGTAATATGTAGTATTTTCCCATATCATATCTGTTTTAATTCAATTTTCCGTCATATCTACTGGCTCAAAATATTTCAAATCATAAAACTCATTGTTATTGTTGAATGCAATAATGATAAGTTTCCTGTTTTGATAAAAATTAGCAATATCGGAGGAAATCCGGAAACGTTCGACCACTGAATCCACTTTTGTTTTCCTCTTAACTAGCGGAATTTTATCAAGAATTTCTTTATTTGCTCGTCTATTGGTTAAACGAATTCTCATAGAGATTTCTGCTATCTAATTTTATTCAGTTTCACATTTTTTGTATGTTACAATCAATTTGAATTCAAAGTCTCATGATGGTGATGATGTGGTTTGTGCCTCGTTTAAATTTTTACAAATTCAGTTTAAAACAATACCAATAATTCCTCACCACGCAAACGCAACTTTCCTATATTTTGATTAGTCTAAATTTGTGACCATCCTGCTCCCTATACGTCAATATTTAATCAATAAAAGTTGTATGAATCGACATTTGGAATGTTTATCTTCATCGTTTCAGACAATTTCAGAATAGTTTGTGTCGAATTCAAATAATCGCTTATTTTATTCTGCTATTTTGTATCCATCGTGGTGGCGTTGAAATGTGGAGAAATAAACACTATAAACATGCGTGTCCCACTTGATTGATTGGTCTCGTTATTCAACCCCCAGCCCCCATCTACTAATCCCAATTACAGTAATTCTTCGGT